TCCCTGTCGGTATCATCGAATCCAATATCGTAAACTTCGAAGAAGTTTGAAGAAAGACTGCCCGCATCCTTGTCATTATCATTGGATTGAATCTCACATTGTGTTTCGATTTGATGCTTAATCTCTATTATTGACGGGAAAAATCCTGGAAATTTCCTTCTTCTTATGACATGATTATACAAAGTTCCGACTCAATGACACAAGCAAGTCATCTTATCTTAGGTTGTCAGCACTTACATAAAGTAAGGCTCAATAGTCTAACCATATTACAGAGGGTCTAGGGGCCGCCAAAAATCAAATTGTGATTGGAGCACGGTGATTCCCCTTTCCTCGAGAAATTTAATCATCTCCCATTGTGAAAAATCATCTTTAGTCGAAGTGCAAATTGTTCTCAAAATGAAATAAGAGTGGTTAATTTTTTTTTCCTCAACCATTTTCTCAATCTTAGTAAACCACCAGCTTGAGTATCCCTTCGCGGATTAAGTGTAGTTTCAATCCTCTAAGTTTCAGCGTTTATTCGATTTGATTGTCTAACTATTACTTTATGCAATTAAGTCCTCTATTTTCCTCATTCGGCGCAATTTGGTGTTATTTCTTTTTTTTTATTCAATCAAACCCTATAACTTTTTTAGTTTGTGCAATCCAGTGTTTACCTTATCTGCTTAACTAACACTATCAAGTAAAGGTTTCATTTTTTTTATTCCAAGTTTTTTTTCTTTTGTCAATTTGATGTCACATTAACATCATGATTCACGTGCCATTTTCTGCCATATTGGCAATGTCACATCATTAATTAATTTGACGTTTTAGCGAGAGCAGTTAACCAAAATATTTGATCGCACAAATTGAGAAAGTTAGAGAATATGATTTCACAAAATAAAACTTAGAGGATCGAATCGCACTAATCAAGAAATTTAGCGAATTTAATTGAACAAACTAAAGGTTAGAAAACCAAAGTTCAATCATAAATTAATATGGGAGTCTTCGAGGAAGTTTAAAGAAGCACTGCTCGTATCCTTGTTGTTACCATTGGATCGAATCTCACATTGTGCTCCGATTTGATGCCTAATCTATATTATCCATTGGAAAAGTCTTGGAATTTTCCTTCTTCTTATGACATGATTATCCAAACTTTCAGCTTGAAAACACAAGCAAGTCATCTTATCTTAGGTCATTAGCAACTACATAAAGTAAGGCTCAATGGTCTAAACATATGACAAAGGGTCTAGGGCCCTCCAAGAATCAAATTGCAATTGGAGCGCGGTGATTTTCCTTTCGTCGAGAAATTTTTAATCATTACCCATCGTGGAAAATCAGCTTTATTCGAAACAAAAATTATTCTTGAAATGAAACAACAGTGGTTAATTTTTTTTCCTCAACCATTTTCTCTATCTCACTAACCCACCAACTCGGGTCTCCCTTGGTGGATTAAGTGCAGTTTCGGTCATCTAACTGTCAGTGTTTGTTCGATTTGATCATCTTACTCTCATTTCATGCAATTGAGTCCTCTATTTTTCTCATTTTGGGCAATTTGGTTTGGTTCTATAAGTTTTCTTTCATTCAATCAAACCCTGTAACTATTTTTGTTTGTGCAATCGAGTGTTTTGCTTACCCGCTTAATTAACACTATCAAATAAGGATTTATTTATTTTTTTATTCCAGGATTGTTTTTCCTCTGTCAATTTGATGTCACACGAACATCATGATTCACGTGCCTTGACAATGCCACGTCATTAATTTAATTGACGGTTTAGTGAGAGCCATTGACCAAAGATTGGATTGCACAAGTCGAGAAAGTGAGAACTTGGTTGCATAAAATAAAACTTAGAGGATCAAATTGTACATATAAAGAATGTTAGAGAAATCAATCAAAAAAATGTAAAGGTTAGAAAACCAAAGTTCAAAGTTTAATTCCACGAACGTTGAGACTTAAAGGAGTAATACTTTGCCTAACCCCCTCTTTCCTCACACTAGCTCACATATGAAAAGAAATGGAAAAGTATGACTACGTGTGATTGACTGGGTCTTCACAAAATTATCCCCAGGAATCCGGACACCGACTGTTGACCACTAATATAGTATATTTCATGCATGGACTGCGTTGAGTCGTTCATGTCATTGTGATCATAGGAAAATTCTTTTTTCTATGCCTAGATCACACAATTGGATCTAATTTCATAAATAAATATAGGAGTCTTAGAGGAGGTTTAAAGAAAGACCGCCGCATCCTTATCGGTACCATCGGATCTAATCTCATAAATCAACATAAGAGTGTTTGAGGAAGTTCAAAGAAGGACCACTTGCATCCTTGCCATTAAAATCGGATTGAATCTCACATTGTGCTTCAATTTGTCAATTGGAAAAATCTGGGCATTTTCCTTCTTCTTATGACATAATTATCTAAACTTTCAACTCGATATTACAAGCAAGTCTTCTTATCTTAGGTCGTTAACAAATACATAAAGTAAGGCTCAATAGTCTAACCATATGACGGTGGGTCTAGGGGCCTCCAAGAATCAAATTGCGATTGGAGCGCGGTGACTTTCCTTTCACCAAGAAATTTAATCATCACCTATTGCGAAAAACCAGCTTTAATCGAACCGAAAATTGTTCTCGAAATGAATTAGGAGTGGTTAATTTTATTTGTTAACCATTTTCTCGATCTCACTAGACCACCGCCTCGGTATCCCTTCACAAATTAAGTGCACTTCCGGTCCTCTTAGTTTTAGTGTTTGTTCGATTTGATCGTCTGATTCTTATTTTATGCAATTAAGTCCTCTAGTTTTCTGATTTTGTGCCATTTGGTTCTATAAGTTTTCTTTTATTCAATCAAACCCTATAACTTTTTTAGTTTGAGCGATCGAGTATTTTGTTTACTCGCTTAACCAACACTATCAAGTTAAGGGTTTCTTTTTTCTCCTTATTCCAATTTTTTTCTTTTGTCAATTAGACGTCACATTAACATCATGATTCACGTGCCATTTTCAGCCATATTGGCAATGTCACGTCATTGATTAATTTGACAGTTTAGCGAGAGCAGTTAATCAAAGGATTTGATCGCACAAGTCGACAATGTTAGAGAACATGATTTCACAATATGAAACTTAGATGATCAAATCACATAGATCATGAAAGTTGGAGAACTTAATTGGACAAAATAAAGGTCAGAAAACCAAAGTTTAACTTGAATTACACGAACGCTAAAACTTAAAGGATTAACACAATACTTAAACCTCTCATTCCTCGTACTAGATCAAATATGAAAACTTGGACAAGTATCACTGTGTGTGACTGATTGGGTCTTCACACGCCGAGTATTTTGACCAGCGACCACTATAATTATATTTCATGCATGGACAAGTATGACTGTGTGTTGACTCATTCATGTCATTATGCTCTTATGGGAATTTTTTTTTGGCTATGCCTATATCACATTATTATCTGTATCTTTAGTATATTGAAGGCTTCCTAATTATCGTTGAGATTGGTGTTTCGATTGGCAAGTGTTGCCTGCCTAGTAGCAAGTTGCCGAAATACAAAAAAGAAGAATGGTTAATATCACGAAAAATCCTAAACTGGTACATCTGTGACAATTTTACCCTAAATTAATTTTTTGACCACCCAAAAATCCTAAACTAGTACATCTGTGATAAATTTACCCCAAACAAATTTTTTGACCACAAAAAACTCCGAACTGGTATACTTGTGATAAATTTACCTTTCGTTAAATTGGATTAATACCATGAAAAATCACAAATTAGTACACCTGTGACAAACAGAAGGTTAAAATCCTAAATTGGTACACCAACTGCCACGTGTTATCCAATTTAGCAATTTGACGGTAAAATTTAATGAAAACTAACTGATGGTATTATTGTTACGGTGTACCAGTTTGAAATTTTCATGGTATTAACTCAAAGAAAAAAGATAACAAATAGGCCAATGTTGAGAAGATAACCACTAGTAGAAAAATTATACGGCTCGGAATGAGCGGAGCCAAAACGGACAATACATCGAGTGAGTTAATCCAATAATGTCACAATATATATGCTGTGCACTGACTTCTCCAGCTAGCAATTAGCATAGTCGGGTATCCAATTCCATGACCTAAATTTCAAGTCAACATGTATTCAATTATGGGACGAGAATAGTGGTAAATCTACTTCGTCACTATGAAGAATTTGAAGTTGGAGGTTGACAAATTGTTGGGTTGCAGAAACATAGTGGTGACGGTAAAATGAAAATTCATATTAGGCAACTCGAGACACACTTATATGGAGATCCGATACATAAAAAATCTCTCACACGCTATTACAATATATTTTTCCCTCACCACACAATATACTTTAGAGTTAGAACACCCTAGCTCGTACAAAGACAGACCCACAACACTTTTATTTTTTGTCTACATTCCATATGTGCAACCTGTCTTTTCTCTCTATCCAGAGGCTCACATTTTTGCTCTGGTGGCTTACTTCTAAACTTCACATAAAACTCTATTTATACAGCAATGATCAGCAAGCGTGTTCACAAAAGCTGCTACACTAGGAAAATATTGCAGCCGAATAAATTGAAGTCAAGAACCATGCTTCACAAGTGATTTAGATCTCTGAGAAAGAACTACACTTCTTCAATTTGTCTTACAAAGGAACTTAATGCTTGTCCCCTAGCTAGGAAGAGGTTTACTATTGACAGCAATAGAAAGAACGGAAGAAAAGAAAACTTTTTAGGGGCAATCGTTAGATTGGTGGTATCACATCTACAAGAACGAAGAACTTTGAAAGAAAAAGAATATACTGAATAGAGGTCTTAAAACAGAAATGAGCCTTTCACCTGGCTAACACACAAAAAAGCTCGGGAATAGAGAAATGAAGCTTCCTTCCGCTTTGTTCTTCTCCGGTTGTCTTTTTCTCTTCTATCACCTTTGTGTCAGTCATTCTATAAGCATCCATGGTTGAATGATGTTGACAATTCAACAACCAAAATCAATTTTATAGTAATTTAACATGACAAATCTTCAGTCAGCTACTCCTTCAATGTGAACTCCGTTTTTTTAAAGAAGTCTTGTGGACTCCGAATGGTTTTTACACTGGAGCAGAGAGAGAAGATTAGGTAATAGATCAGTGTGAGTCCACCATTAAACGGAAGTTTTGTTTCCGTGGGCATCAAGAATATGGAGGAGAAGAAGAAGACAATCGGCGTCCAGGGTCTGTTGGTGGCAGCAGCGGTCCTTTGTTTGAGTTCTCTCGCCGTTTCGACAGAAGAAACAAAGCCGAAGCAGTTGCGGTTCAGGGAAAACGGGGAATTCAAGATAGTGCAGGTGGCGGACATGCACTATGCCGATGGCAAGACCACACCCTGCAGGGACCTTCTTCCTTCTGAGTTGGCAAGTTGCTCCGACCTCAACACCACCGCCTTCATCCATCGGATGATCCTGGCTGAGAAGCCTGACCTCATTGTTTTCACGGGTTAATTCTCTTCTATTCTCAAACAAATCAAGCTTCTATATCATGTTTTTTGCTTGTATCTATTGTATACGCATACACTCTACATGACAGTCACTTGAGGTATTTTGCAATTACAACTCAGCCTTAGGCACCAACATTGATGAATGAAGGAACTCAAAGCTAACTGTTTCATGCTTTTACAATGTGATGAAGGGGATAATATTTGCTCTGATGCGACTGATGCTGCAAGATCTTTAGAATATGCATTTTCCCCTGCCATTTCTGCAAGCATACCATGGGCTGCCGTATTGGGAAACCATGACCAAGAGTCCACCTTGCCAAGAGAAGGGGTCATGAAACATATAGCTAGCCTCAATCACACTTTGTCTCAGGTCAATCCTACCGGGGTTGATGTCATTGATGGTTTTGGCAATTACAACGTGGAGGTCCAAGGAGTTGAAGGCTCTGGGTTTGAAAACAAATCAGTCCTCAATCTTTACTTCCTCGATAGTGGAGATTATTCGACAGTTCCTTCAATTTCTGGTTACGGTTGGATCAAACCCTCTCAGCAACTTTGGTTCCAACGCACGTCTATGAAGCTTCAGGTATTAATGTTGCCAGTTCCTTTCAAAAGTCTTTACTGTCTGTCTCCTTATATACAACAGAGTGAACACCGATTCAAAAGGGATAGCTATCAAGTGTAGCTTCACAGAAGGAAAAAGTACGAGTGTCGACGTTCCTTCTGGATATCTCATGTAGGTATTCATATCTGTCGTGAAACAAAAGAATATTAGTCAGGAATTGCATTGAGTTCAATGTTTTGGGGGTAAGAGATAAAGGTTTCTTCCTTAAATAAGCGGAGCTAAAGTACTTAAACAATTTATTACCATGGTAACTGACCAACTGTTGCTACATTTACATGGTTCATGGAAGCATCGTCTCTGACTATCTCTTGCTTGGAATCACTCAGTTTTAAATGTTTTAACTTTTATTTGGTTTTTAAGTTTTTAACGTTTATCTGGCATTTCTTCATGAATAATCTTACTGCGTGTTGAATGAATTCTTGAATTGTTCCATCCTTTTCTTTCATCGCTTAAGATAATTAGTCGATAAAAAATGATTTTATGTCTAAATATTTTTGCTAACGATAAAAATATTTTTCGTTCGTTCACTTTTGTAAAAGATACAAGCGATCATATTTAGGAAAATATTTTTCAAATCATTTATTTTCAGCGAAACAAAAGAAACCTAAGATTCTTGAGCCTCATCCCAACTTGATGACGATAATTACGTGATTAACTAGTTCGTTTTGGGTGTTTCTGTTGCAGAAAGCATATATGAGTAAGCCAGAGGCTCAGGAAGCACCAGCGCCAGGGCTCGTTTACTTCCATATCCCACTGCCCGAGTATGCAAGTGTCGATTCATCAAATTATACTGGTGTAAATCAAGATGGCATTAGCTCTCCTTCTGTAAACTCGGGCTTCTTTACAACTATGGTAGAAGCAGGTGATGTTAAAGCTGTTTTCACGGGCCACGATCACCTTAACGACTTTTGTGGCGAATATACTGGTATACAGCTCTGTTATGGTGGGGGTTTTGGATACCATGCCTATGGGAAGGCTGGATGGGCAAGGAGGGCAAGGGTGGTCCAAGCAACATTAGAGAAAACAGACGAGGCAAGTTGGGGTCCTTTGAAGTCAATTAAAACATGGAAGCGCCTTGATGATCAAAACCTTACTGCCATTGATGTTCAAGTACTTTGGAACAACAGCACTACAGGTACTCATTACAAAATCTCAGTCAATATATAGCATGCTTCCCGTCTTTGCTCGTCATTCAACAAATAGCCTAGAGGTCTTAACTTGTTTAGTGTACGTACTTACGCTGGATATGCTAGACTCACGGCCAAAATGATGGGAAGAGATGCAAACAGTGAGCATCATAAATTTGTTTGGCATATAGAAGATATATCAAATTCTCATCCTCTGATTATCTTGCTGAATCTCACTCAAGTCATATCACAGAGACTTTCTAGATGTCCATTTTCGAGTCCAGATCGATCAATTTCTACTCCGTGTAGATATAGTTTTCGACATCTGGAAGCAGGCCCACAGATTTGCCGGCCTTTCCTCTATGACTTACTGAATAGCTCCTTCCGTAATTTGTACTCACTATCTCACGAGCAAGATTTTCTGGCCCCCCTTTGGAACTATCAACAACAAATAAAGCCGCTCTCCATGTTTTATAGCATTCCCCGCCTCATCTACCTGTACCATGGTACAAAGGCAGACTCTCGCTAGATCACATTGAGATTTCAAATTTCCTGTGTTTAAACCCCTTTGAACAATTTTGTGTATTTTTATCCTCAGTTTCGAGAAAATAAGTTCTTTCTCGAATACAGACAACTCACTTGCCTGGGAGAACTCTGAACTATGAGAATGGATTGATTGCATCATCTTTGCGGAGAGAAACGAGTCCTTGACATATTCCCTGCGACGTTTTGGTTAATATTGCAATGCAAATTGTATGTTGACGGTATCTAAAAGATGCCCGACAGTTTAATACTAGTCAAACACCTTCATGAACATATACAATGGTCATTGCAGATATTTGATCTGCAACAATAAGAAGAAATGAGGCAAAAAGTAGGAATAGAGAAAAGTTCTAGACGGCAAGAAGGTTCACATTAAATTGCCAAACAGCTCCCTTTCACTCGCACGCACATGCGCGTGCTCCCGCAGAGGGAGAGATAGAGTGTCGTAGAAAAGAAACTCAAATTGCATCAACTACTTTGGTAGTTTCATTTGCATAACTTAGTTGGATTCCAGCTTGTTATCCTGTTGCTGGCTTTTCTCATCCTTTGTGCCAATTTTACAAGGAGCAGGTGGTACTTGAAGAGAAGAACTGTGGGAGGAGGAGATCTACTTACTATGCTGGAATAAGACACTCTCTGTCACGCATCAACTCTCCTAGGCTTTTGTTTGGAAGTCCCGTCTTTGTATTGCATATTGTATGAATTTTGGAATAATGATCGGTACCCTCTATAGGTGGAATGGGCATGCCTGCTGCCTGTTCCACGCAGAACTCTAGCGTCTTATTGAAGCTATCAAAGCTCCTATCGAAAATAGGATTGAATACGGATTCGAGCCTTCGCACATGGTTTCATAAAATGGTATGATTTTCCCGATCTAAATCAAGCAGGTTTTACATGAAGAAGGTAATCTCTTACTATGGAAATTCTAACCTTTCTTCTTACCTAACAATTGAATTCTTAGGGTGTAGAGCCATAGGCAACATAGTCTCTTCAAAGTGAGCCGAATGGTTGGAAAAATTGAGAAGTTTAACACAAAGGCAGAAGAAGAATTATTATCAAATTACCGACTTTATTAGAATTACTTATTAGTATATTTGAGCCAATTACTAAGGTTGATTTGATCGTCTCCGAATTATCAACTTTTCTGATGACTTACTAACTTTTCATTAAAATTACTTAATCTTGATTAGAGTCTTGTTTCAAGGCACTTTAACTTTGAGGCCACAGTCATGTAAAAGAGAGTACCCATCTTTTCTTTATTTTTGAAATTTGACTTATCTCATACACAACTTATTCAATAGACGGGCCATTTCCTTTTATAATACTAAAAAGTTAGGCAACTTTGCAAGTTTCGGGAAATAGCCCAAATAAATAATGAAGGCAACTTTAACCACCCGCCTGGGTGGCGCTGCTGGAGCGCGCACTCTTCCTTTCGCAAAAGGTTGAGTGTTCGAATCCCGGGCGCCGCAGGGTGACTTAACCGGTGGCACGTGTGTGGTGGCTAGCACGTGTTGCCCCAGGGTTTACTCCCCGGCTGTCGGCCGTGCGGGGGTTCCCTGGGTTACCAAAAAAAAAAAAAAAAAAATAATGAAGGCAAATCCCGATCTGCCTCCATACTTCTATCAAATACTCAAGATACCGCTATATATCGCATTTTGTTTCAAGACATCCCCTATAGTCACCAAAAAGTGTCAATGTGAGTCCCAAAACAGTATAGATAGTTTTAAACTCCATGAGTCAATTCCAGCCCAAATAAAAATACTAAGCTCCCTCTAGAAGATAGGGTAAGAGAAAATACCTTTCTTTCAGATCTTCTAACGTTGTATATCTTTCCATAGAGCAAATCTGCTTGCCAGGTCGCCAAGCCCTTTCTCTTCAGAATCCATTCGACCCCTTTAGAAGATAGGTGAGCAGAAATCAGATCTTTCAAATTGGCTTCTGGTGGTCCTGTCACAAAAGAGTTGGGAGACTATGGTAGCGAATGATAACCATTCTATTCCGAAATGAGTTCCTGAAACAGAAATAGATTTTTCTATTTCTGGTTCCAAGATGAGTTTCTGAAAAAAGAAACCCGTTTGATAACGATCAAAAATTTCTATTTCTGAAACAGAAACCCGTTTGATAACAGCACAAAATTTCTATTTCCTGAAACAAAAACCCGTTTGATAAACAACACAAAATTCTATTTCCAGGAACAAAAATCCATTTTTTTAGAAATGGAATAAATATAATTAGAAAATCCAAAAAATTCCTAAAAATCTCAAAAAAATTCAAAAAATCCAAAAAAAAATGAAAAATTCTAGAAAAATTCATCACAATTTCCAAAAAATAAAAAAATTCAGATTTCGGGAAAATAGGAAATTTGTTGAATTTTTTCAAAAAAAATCAAAAAATCAAAAATTTCAAAACTTCATAGAATGGCTTAAAATACCTGTGGCCACCCACTTTTAGTGAAATTTAAATTTTTTTAGGTGCCCAAAAAAAATCAAAAAATCAAAAATTTCAAAACTTCACAGAATAGTTTAGAATACATGTGGCCACCCACTTTGAGTAAAATTTAAATTTTTTAAGGTGCCCAAAAAAATTCAAAAACTCAAAAATTTCAAAACTTCACAGAATAGCTTAGAATACCTGTGGCCACCCACTTTGAGTGAAATTTTAATTTTTTGAGGTGAAAAAAAGCAAAAAATCAAAAATTTCAAAACTTCACAGAATGACTTAGAATATCTGTAGGCACCCACTATGAGTGAAATTTAAATTTTTTTAGGTGCAAAAACAAAAATAAAAACATAAAAAAATAAAAAATTTTAAAACTTCACAGAATGACTTAGAATGCCTCTAGCCACCCACTTTGAGTGAAATTTAATTTTGGTGCCCAAATTGTATTTTTTATTTTCTAATTTTTTTTCGGCACCTAGGGAAAATTAAATTTCACTCAAAGTGGATGGCCACAGGTATTCTAAGCCATTCTGTGAAGTTTTGAAATTTTTGATTTTTTGCTTTTTTTTCTTTTTTTCGAAACCTAAAAAAAATAAAATTTCATTCAAAGTTGGTAGCCACAGGTATTCTAAGCCATTTTGTGAAGTTTTGAAATTTTTACTTTTTTGCTTATTTTTATTTTTTTTCGGCACCTAAAAAAAATTAAATTTCGCTCAAAGCGGGTGGCCACAGGTATTCTAAGCAATTCTGTGAAGTTTTGAAATTTTTTATTTTTTTATTTTTTTCGGCACCTAAAAAAATTTAAATTTCACTTAAAGTGGATGGCCACAAGTATTCTAAGTCATTCTGTGAAGTTTCAAAATTTTTGATTTTTTGCTTTTTTTATTTTTTTTAGGCACCTAAAAAAAATAAAATTTCGCTCAAAGTGGATGGCCACAGGTATTTTAAGCCATTCTGTGAAGTTTTGAAATTTTTGCTTTTTTGCTTATTTTTATTTTTTTTGGCATCTAAAAAAATTTAAATTTCGCTCAAAGTGGGTGGCCACACAGGTATTCTAAGCCATTCTGTGAAGTTTTAAAATTTTTTATTTTTTTATTTTTTTCGGCACCTAAAAAAATTTAAATTTCGCTCAAAGTAGATGGCCACAGGTATTCTAAGCCATTCTGTGAAGTTTTCAAATTTTTTATTTTTTGCTTTTTTTAATTTTTTTCGGCACCTAAAAAAATTAAATTTAGCTCAAATTGGGTGGCCACAGGTATTCTAAGACATTCTGTGAAGTTTTTAAATTTTAGATTTTTTGATTATTTTTTATTTTTTTTGGCATATAAAAAAAATTAAATTTATCTCAAAGCAGGTGGCCGTAGGTATTCTAAGCCATTTTGTGAAATTTTTTTATTTTTTTCGGCACCTAAAAAATTTTAAATTTCGCTCAAAGTGGGTAGCCACAGATTCTAAACCATTCTGTGAAGTTTTGAAATTTTTGATTTTTTGCTTTTTTTCCCACCTCAAAGATCGTACTTCCAGATGAACATGTGTTTTGAAGAAAGAGTTCTCTCAGAAATGATTCTCATTTTTGGTCTAGAAATAGAAAACCTACTTTTTTTTTGTTCTGATTTCTGGTTCAGAATCGGTTCTGGAACAAAAAGTTGTTCCAGAAATAGAAAAATGGAATTGCGTTATCAAACAGGTTTCTGGTCCAAAGCTATTTCTGGGAACAGAAAACCAGTTCTGGACAGAACCAGAATGTTTATCATACGCTACCTATGTGTCGGGGAGACCGAACTATATCTGCCTACGAAATGCTAACATTGTGATTACCCGAAACATATTCCACTTTATCACCATCCCAAACGCTAACATTTGATGGAACGTAGAGGGTACACAGTCATTACTATGCATCCAATCTCTTCCTAGTAGGATGTATCGGTTGTTTGTAAAACAAACAAAATGGTGCTTTTCATTTTTCTTGTCCCACATAGGAAAGTTGGGAGTGTGTAGACCACTATATAAATGTGAATGTCTTTTAACTTATTCAAACGACGACGATGGGCTGTGGGCTAGACCCTCAATCTTCGTTTATTATTATTTATTTATTGAAATTCAAATTTATTATTATAAAATAAATGTTTTGTCCTATTGAAATAGTGTGACATTTCACAAAAGAATTATGGTTATTTTTTATTAAATAAATTTCAATTTTTTTTCCTAAAGGTTATTAGGTGCTCTTACAACCTTTGGAAAGTTATGTTTATTCGGACATAACCACTTAACATTTAGAGAGTTGTATTTATTTGGACAAAGCTTCTTCTTCTTCTTGAAAAAGTTGTAATTTTTCAGAAGTATGAAATTTGGAATTAAAAAAATTATTATTATTATTATTTTTTACTCCAAATTTTCAATATGTCTTTTGAGAATGTATTTGTTCGGGAATAACTTCTCCCGAATGGTTGCATTCGGTTCTAAAAGACTGAAATATATATTCATATTTTTTCAGTCTCTTTTCACTTATTTCTTGATTCTTCTTTCTTAAAAACCATACAATTATCTTTTCAAATTGTTTCCCTTAAGAGATTCTAGAGAAATACAAGAATTGCTATATGGTATTCTCAAATGAGACTTTTTTATATCTTGGAGGATTTTTTCCAGTATCCATATGAGGAAATGGGAACTTTTGAAAATCAGGAAAGAGTTGGGTGGCTTAGGCTTTAGGTACCTAATTGCCTTTTTTAAGGCAATAATAGGAAAACAAGCCTGGCGACTAATACAAGCACCAAATGTCTTTTGGAGTCAAGTACTAAAGGGAGTCTGTTTTCCTGTGGAGAGTTTCGGCAAGCCAACGAGGGCGATCGCCCATCCTAGGGGTGGCAAATTCTACTATTGGGTAGAGACGTAATTAAGGCAAATGCTAGATGGAAAGTAGGTAACAACAAAAAGATAAAAATAAAAGGGGACAAGTGGCTCCCTTCCGGTAAACTTGGAGGCCCGTTGAAACATGTTGAACCAAAATTTGTAGCAGAACTGATTAACCGGGAGAATCATGAGTGGAAATCACAATTGATTATGGAAATTTACGAAGAGGATGTGATGCAGGAAATACTGACAATCCCACTAAGCACGAACCCCTCGAAAGACATTTTGGTATGGATAGGGAACAAAATAGGAGCCTATTCAGTTAAAAGTGGCTACAATAGGTTGCGCTCCCAAATTTCACATCAGAAGAATTAGGCACTATAAGGGTTATTTGAGGGTAGTTTTACCTATGTGTTCATTTATGCGACACTCATTTTTTTTATTTTTTTTTTTGTATTTTAGGGTTATTTTGTTACATTCTTCATTCTTTGCAATGTATATGTTAATTTATGGCTTGTTGAGTGTTGATTTAGCGGCAATATTTGTTATTTACTGGTTTTTTCGCATTTAGAGTTTATATTTTAAAAGGTCTTCTTAATTTAAAGGTACCAATTTGAGATTTATGAGGGTGGTTGTGTGATGCTCATTTTGAGTTTATATATAGGTGCTATTTCTTATTTAGAGGTTATTGTCTGATTAGGGGTGAGTTTGTTTTACGTTAAGCTTTTATGGTTTAGGGTATAGGATAACGGGTTACATCAAGATTATGGGTTGTTCATGGCGTTTTTTTAATAATTTTAGGGTTTTTGGGTGATATTGGTGGTCCTTTACAATTTAGATATTATTTAGGGATAAAGAGTAATTTAAGATATTTCGGTGATTTAATAAATTAAAATTACCCCACTGTAATACTATTAACATAATTTTAAAGAAATTATAAAAGGCCGAACATCCTTTTTTTCTTATGAAACACCAACAAACTCACTCCCGATATTGGGGCGTTCACCTTTCTATGTTTAATTCAAGTTTGAATCTCTAAAGGTTGGTTTTGAATGAAATAAGTTTTACCCTTCATTAGATGAAATCCAAAAAGACAAAAATAAAAAATTATACATTATAGAAATTCTTATTACTAAAATATGCTATATTAATTAGTTGTATTTGTTTTTTCATTAAAGTCTATGTGAATTCCCTTTCTTTCTTTTTTAACCAAAAAAAAAATTCCCTTTCTTTCTTTCTGTTTTGGTCAGAGGATTCTCTTTCTAGAAGCATATTCTTTGCGTGTGAAGTTTTCTCAAATTTTGTTTAAAGGCTTGAAAAAAAACTCAACGGCCACCCACCTCTCTTTATCTATTACTTAAACTCTATACGAACTATAAATGAAAAGACAAAACTTCGTTGTGCATGTACTATGTAATTAATAACTTCTGCAATCAAAAATTGCCACGTAATCTGCAAGACAGGTCAGCTGAAGCTTGCATGCAATTATTGTTAATCTTAATTTGTGACCACTATTCGTCTCGTGGAGTTTGTGCAATCCACTTGGTTTTCACGGGGAAGCAGAGAGAAGATGGGCAGATATGTCGGTTTTTGTCCACAAAGGTTTAAGATTATGTTAGCAAAATTGAAATATTTAAAATTAAATTGGCATAGATATGAGTGTTCATTTATGCGACACTCACAATTTTTATGTATTTTAGAGTTATTTTGTTACATTCTTTTGCAGTGTATATGTTAATTTAGGGCTTGTTGAGTGTTGATTTAGCAGCAATATTTGTTGTTTAGTGGTTTTTTCGCATTTAGAGTTTATATTTAAAAGGTTTTTTCTTTTAATTTTAAGGTACCAATTTGAGATTTATATGGGAGGCTCATTTTGAGTTTATATTTAGGTGCTATTTCCTATTAAAAGGTTACTTCCTAATTAGGGGCAAGTTTTTTTTTTTTTTTTTATATTAAGCTTTTATGGTCTAGGGTATAGGATAGTGGCTTATATCAAGGTTATAGGTTGTTCATGGTGTTTTTTAAAAAAAAAATAGGGCTTTTGGGTAATATTGGTGGGCCTAATTCCCTAAAAAACCCCAAACTTTAGGTTAAGTCCCAAATCTGCCCCGAACTTTTTTTTGTCTCAGAAAAAACCCCAAACTTTAGGTCAAGTCCCAAATCTATCCCGAACTTTTTTTTGTCTCAGAAAAAACCCCAAACTTTAGGTCAAATCCCAAATCTGCCCCGAACTTTTTTTTGTCTTGAAAAAAACTCCAAACTTTAGGCTCAGTCCCAAATATGCCCCAAATTTTGTTTTATGTAAAAAAAATCACCAAAATTCAATTTATTTTAAAAAATATACCCCGATGATCTAGTTCCAACTTGACATGGCATTTCCACGTCTATAATAAATGATTTTATTTGGTTTTATTTTGGAGAATTTCAACAATTTTTATTTGGTTTGATTTGTTGTCGAAGTGAAAATGCAACGTCGGTATATTCCTATCGCCCCATTACTTTGCTGATGTTGATTTGTTATGACGTGGAAGTGTCACGTCAAGTTGGGACGGGATCACGGGGGTATATTTTTGAAAATAAATTGAAATTTGCTGATTTTTTTTACATAAAATAAAATTCGGGGTAGATTTGGGATTGAATTTAAAGTTTGGGTTTTTTTCCAAGACAAAAAAAAGTTCGGGGCAGATTTGGGACTGGACCTAAAGTTTGGGGTTTTTTTCGAGACAAAAAAAGTTTGGGGCAGATTTGGGACTGGACCTAAAGTTTACGGTTTTTTCTTAGACAAAAAAAAATTCGGGACAGATTTGGAACTTGACCTAAAGTTTGGGGTTTTTTAGGGAATTCACCCAATATTGGTGGTCCTTTACAATTTAGATATTATTTAGGGATAGTGAGTAATTTAAGATATTGCAGATAAATTAAAAATACCCCACCGTAATACTATTTAGGGGTGAGAATAATCCTAGTGGGCATTTCCCACCTCAGAATCGGGAACCGTTCACTAAAATTCGATTCCGAAAATTTGGAATCAAGAGCTGCCCGTTAGTTTCATGGATCTACCTGAAAATCGGATCGTCGGTTCGGTCTAATTACCGGGTGAATCCATGGAACTGGTCCCCAATCTCTACAAAATTGCATTCATAAATCAATATCATGGTGAACCTAATTTCTATGTGGGTACTTCTTCGATTTTATCACATAATTAATAAAAAAAAAGTATCGATTTTATGCGAACACATTGAGACAAAGTTATTCTCAAGGGAAGCAAACTAGAAGCCTTCTCCGAAAAAAAACATTTCATCACTTCATCTAATAAGAGTTTTCTTTGTTAGCTTCCAGAATCATCGGACTAAGTGCATGTTATTTCGTAAGTAGATTTCACAATATAACTATAGCATGGAATTTTTTTTCAAAAATATATATGTATATCGGTCAAGTTCGATTCGGGTGGGTGAGTGGGCGGTTTCATGCCTGAAATCGAAAACCATATCTATACTCACCGATTCCGGTAAGTTAGAACTGAGAATTGGACCAGTCCTCATGTGAACCGCATGTTTTGGGCCAATCTGGTCCGGTTCTAGGTAGTTCCGATTCCTTTGCACACCCTTAATACTATTAACATTATTTTAAACAAATTACAAAGAAGCAAAACACCCTTTTTCTTGTGCAACACCAACAAACTCATTCCCAATATCGGGACATCCCAAATCTCTTAACCTTTCTATTTTTAAATTCAAGTTTGAATTCAATGGGTCTCCAATTTTTTTTTCCAAGTATTCTCTAGGGGTTGGGTTTTGAATGAATAAGTTTCCCCCAACATTACATGAAATCCATAACGACGAAATAAAAAATTATGCACTATAAGAATGCTTATTACTAAAACGAGCTATATTAATCAATTGTATCACTTTTTCATTAAAACCTATGTGGGATTCCCTTTCTAGTGACGTGGTCTTTAATTGTGAAATTTTTTTTCTCAAATTTTGTTCAATGGCTAATAAAAAAAAACTCAAAGACCATCCATCTCTCTTTATATATTACTCTCAAATTCTATATGAGCTATAAATCGAAAACGACAAAAGTAGGTTGTGCACGTACTTCGTAATTAATATCTTCTCCAATCCCAAATCGCCACGTCAATCTTGAAGACAAGTCAACGTGATCCTCGGATGCAATCATCGTTAAATCTATCTTACATTCGTGGCCATTATTCGTCTCGTGGGGAGTTGCGAACTATGCTTGGTTTTCACAGGTAAGCAGAGAGAGAGAGAGAGAGAGAGAGACAGAGAGAGAAGACGAGCTGATATTTCTGGTTTTGTCCGCAACTGAACACGGGTTGCTCTGTTTTCCGTGGTGCGTCGAGAACATGATGGAGGAGAGGAGGAAGAAGATGAGTATCGGCGCGCCGGGTCTGTTGGCGGCGGCGGCGGTCCTTTGCCTGAGCTCTCTTGCCGGTGCGGCAGGGGAAGCGGGGGCGGGGCTGCGGTTCAGGGTAACAAGCGGGGAATTCAAGATACTGCAGGTGGCGGACATGCACTATGCCGACGGCAGGACCACCCCCTGCGAGGACGTGCTTCCTTCCCAGGTGGCGGGCTGCTCCGACCTCAACACCACCGCCTTCATCCACCGGATGATCCAGGCGGAGAAGCCCGACCTCGTTGTCTTCACGGGTTATTTCCCATATCACTATTCTCGAAATGCCACTGTGTATCATGTTTTGTGCTTGTGAGTATGGCTATATGCATACACTTTAGATGACAGTCACTTGAGGTATAGAGACGTATTGCAACTGCAATTCAGACTTAGGCGCCAATCTCGATGGATGAATGCTGGGATCTATTTGTCTTTTGTGAGAGTTACAGCTGACAAAGCAAGGACGATCTCATCGTGATTTTCCCCTGTAATTCTGAATATGGTAACTGCTTTTCTGGGTTTCTGGGTTTCTTATCCTAACCCTGATTATAGAAATGTTGCGCAGTTTGAGTCCACTCTGAGGAACTACTTGAATGTTTGGCTAGTAGTGTGTATTTGTCTTTCATAAGATCTGAAATATTAATGGCCATTCTTGGTTGGAGCTTCGGTTTCTCCAGCCCCTTAAATTTTTTTTTTTCTAATTTGGTTCTGTTTCCCTTCGCATCAATAGGTGAGAGGTTTATAAGGTACCCAAAGCTAACTGTTTCATGCTTTTACAATGTGATGAAGGGGACAATATCTTTGGCTTTGATGCAACTGATGCTGCAAAATCTATGGATGCTGCATTTTCTCCTGCCATTTCGTCAGGCGTACCATGGGCCGCCGTATTGGGAAACCACGACCAAGAGTCCACCTTGTCAAGGGAAGGGGTTATGAAACACATAGTTAGCCTCAAGCACACTTTGTCTCAGGTCAATCCTCCCGGGGTTCATGTTATTGATGGATTTGGGAATTACAACTTGGAGGTCCATGGAGTTGAAGGCTCTGGTTTTGAAAACAAATCAGTCCTCAATCTCTATTTCCTCGATAGTGGAGATTATTCGACAGTTCCCTCAATCCTTGGTTATGATTGGATCAAACCCTCTCAGCAATTTTGGTTTCAACGCACGTCTATGAAGCTTCAGGTATGAATGGTGCCAGTTCCTTTCTTTTGTCTTTTACTCTCTTTCTCCTTATAGAGTGAACACCAATTCAAAATGGACAGCTATCAAGTGTAGTAGCTTCACAGAAGGACAAAGCACGGGTGTTGACGTTCTTGTTGGGTATCTAATGGAGGTACTTATGTCTGTCATAAAATAAAAGAATATTGGTCAGGAATTGCATTGACTTTAATTTTCCTGGGGTAAGATATAAAGAGAAAATTCTTTTCTTCCTTAAATAAGAGGAGCTAAGGTACTTAAATCAATTTATTACCATGGTTTATGGATAGAAAATGCATACTCAAAATGAGAAATTTATCTTCGTCTCTGTAACTGACCAACTGTTTCTACATTGCTGTGGATCCATGCACTACATGCTTTATGGAAGCATTGATCACACATATTGTGAAGGATCGTCTCTAACTATCTCTTACTTGGAATCACTTAGATTTTAAGTTTTTATATTTATTTGGCATTTCTTCATGAATAATCTTACTGAGTGTTGGATGAATTTTAGAAATGTTCCATCCTTTTCTTCCATATATGCTCCTGATGAATGTAAAGCCAAGCCTTCGCTCAAGATAGAACATTCAATTTGCTTCCAGCGAAGCACTTTGTGTGCTTCAAAACAGTTAGCCAATTACCAAGCCATATCAATCAGGTTATTGTGCTACTAAATTGGTTTTATAGTCTAGGAGCCATTAATGATTAGTCTTGGGACATTTTATCAGAGATAAGAAACAGCCTAAAATTTTCTTCCTTATCCCGGCTTGATGACAACAATTACATGATTAACTAGTTCGTTTTGGGTGTTTCTGTTTCAGAGAGCATATATGAGTAACCCAGTGGCCCAGAAAGCACCTGCACCAGGGCTTGTTTACTTCCATATCCCATTGCCCGAGTTTGCAAGTTTTGATTCATCAAATTTTACCGGTGTAAAACAAGAAGGCATTAGCTCTGCTTCTGTAAACTCGGGCTTCTTTGCAACTATGGTAGAAGCAGGTGACATTAAAGCTGTTTTCACGGGCCATGATCACATTAATGACTTTTGTGGCGAATTAACTGGTATAGAGCTTTGTTATGCTGGGGGTTTTGGATACCATGCCTATGGGAAGGCTGGATGGGCAAGGAGGGCGAGGGTGGTCGTAGCAACATTAGAGAAAACAGACAAGGCAAGTTGGGGTCCTGTGAAGTCGATTAAAACATGGAAGCGCCTTGATGATCCATACCTTACTGCAATTGATGGTCAAGTACTTTGGAGCAAGAGCACTAAAGGTATTCATCACAAAATCTCAGTCAATATGCAGCATGCTTCAAGTCTTTGCATGTCATTCAACAAATAGTCTAGAGGTCTTCGCTTGTTTAGAGTATGCACATACGCTGGATATGGTACACTAACGGTCAATATGATGGGAAGAGATCATAAATCTCTTGGGCCTATACCAATTTCTTCTCAACTGAAATTGGACCATAGAGAAAATTTTCATGTTCTCATCTTTTGATTATCTTGCTGAATCTCACTCAAGTCATATCAAAGAGGCTTCCTAGATGTCTCCAGATTGATCAATTGCTTCTCCATGTAGACATAGTTTTCGATATTTGAAGCTTGGGAAGCAGGCCCACAAATTTACTGGCCTTTTCTCTATAACTTGCTGTATAGCTCCTTCCATAATTTTACTCACTATTCCACGAGCAAGATTCTCTGGCCCATCTTGGGAACTATCAACAACAAATAAAGCCTCTCTCAAACTATGTTGCTGGAGATTTCTCTCCATGTTTTATAGCATTCCATGCCTTATCTACCTGCACCTTGCCGCAAAGGCAGACTTCTTGCTAGATCACATTGAGATTTCAATTTTCCTGTGTTTAAACCTCTTTTCACCAATTTTGTCTATTTTTATCCTCATTTTTGGGTAAATCAACTATTTCTCAAATACCGACATCTGACTTGCCTGGAAGAACTCTGAATTATTAGAATGGATTGATTGCATCATCTTTGTGGAAGGAATTGAGTCGTTGACATATTCCCTGTGATATTTTGGGTGATATTGTAATGCAAATTGAATATTGACCCCTCTCTAGAATCTAAAAGATGACCAACAGTTTAGCACAAGTTATATACTTTTGGTTTACCTAATAAATTATACTTCCTAATCCTTCTTCCCACAATTTAAGTTTGCTACAGCCGCATCCTTCTCATCTCTCTACTTCCATGCTAATTTTTGGAATCATCTCAGTGAGCATACAGGATATGGGATAATTCAACTGCCTTTTTCAATGTTTTCCTTTATTACCTGATAGAGTAAGAGGAACCTTTGCTTTGCAAACTTTCCAAACTCTTTTATCTGATGAGACAAGCTTCTTCTCGATGTACGCCAGATGATTAGCAAACTGAAGTGTTTCCCGGACTAGGAACTTTCACTATGTATGATTGAATGTTTGTTCATCTGCTTTGGAGTTTTTAGAAAGTAAACTTGGTTAACTGGGATCTTTATCTTGACAAGAAGCCCATCTTATCAAGTTGCTTGATCTTCTCACGGTATCAATCACTGGCTTTGAAGAAAGCAATGAGACTTCTAGGAGAGCAGGGGGACAGCATAGTATTATTTCTCTTGATATGGAAGCTTTACTTAAATTCATGAACATATACAATAGTCATTGCAGAAAGTGAATCTGCAACCATAAAAATAAAAAAGACACGGAGGGAACAGAAAGAATTCTGGACGGCAAGAAGATCTACTTCAAATTACCAAAAAGTCCCCCTTTCACTCAGTCACACGCACATGCACGCCTGCGCGCACAGACACACATGACACACACAGAAGGCGGGAGAGAGAAAGCGTCGAAGGAAAGAAACTCAATTGCATCAACTACTTTGCTAGCCTCATTTGCATTAACTTAGTTGGATTCCAGCTTGTATCCTGATGCTGGCTTTTCTCATTCACATTGCCAATTTACAAGGAGCAGGAGCTCGCAGAAAGAAGCAGATTGGTGGTGCTTGAACAGAACTATGGGAGGAGGAGATCTACTTGTATGCTCGAATAATTGCGTGGCGCTTTATTTTCCAAGCCTAATTGCTTGCAACTCGAGACGCAAGGGAAGGAGTACTATTTATGTGTAATGTAAGAAGCTTGATCGATACTGCTAGAAGAGGATTCTTTTCATCTGTTCTTATAATCTGCCTAGATTGAATTCCAAGAAAACAAATAAATGTAAAAGTTGAACAGTATTAGCTGATTCTATGGTCTTGTTGAATATAATCCACTTATATTTTGGCGATATTTGTACACAAGTTTCTATTTAAAGGATTGTCCTTGTCCTGAGTATTGCGAAGGATTTCGCGGCGAGAGATTTGTACACGCATAAACGTTTTTTCCTAGGCTTTTGTTGGCAAGTCCCATTGTTGTTTGGCGTCCTGTATGACAAATTGAAACCGATGAATGTTGGAATCATGATCGATGCCCTCTATAGCTGGTATGGGCATGTCCAAATACCTGTTCCACGCAAAACTCCTGAGTTTCATTGAAGCTATCAAATTTTATATCAAATTACCGACTTTATTAGAATCACTTATCAACAATTTTTTCTTTTGATAAAGTTATCACAAAGGGTTAGGTTATTATTCCTTATTTGAGCCATTTACCAAGGTCGATTAGATCGTGTCCGAATTATCAACTTTTCTAGATGACTTACTCACTTTCTATGAAAATTACTCAATCTTAACTCAAGAGTCTTGTTCTGATGCATTTAAAAGTTGGGGTCACAATCATGTAAAGGAGAGTTCCCATCTTTTCATTATTTTTGAGATTTGACTTATCTCAAACACAACAGTTATTCATTAAAAAGTGAGGAAAATTTCGATTTGCCCCCATACTTGTGTCAAATACTCAAAATACCCTATATATCACGTTATGTTTCAAGATAACCCCTATAGGCACCAAAAGTGTCAATGTGAGTCCCAAAACAATATAGAGTTTTCAAACTAGATCAGTCAATTCCAGGTCAAATAAAAAAGAGCACTGTCTAATGTTAATTGGCACTCCAAAAGGGCAGCTACATCACTTGTTCTAAAGGCAAAGCCCTTTTCCACTCGTGGAGTAAATCCGAAAGTTATTCTTTCATTCCGCAAGCAATTAACTGAATTTTTAGGGAATGTTATAGCGAAGTGAGCAATCTCCAAATGTACATGGACATTGGAGGCACATATGCCGAAAGAATAGTCACATTCTCAACACCATATGACAAAGTAAAGAGACCAAGGTGAGAGTTTTTCAGAACTGTTTGAGAACATAGCAAGGAAAGGGATGCTGGTCACAAACAGAATCTAACATGTACCGAGGGTGGACTCGGCTATCTTTTCCCATGAGGTGCAAGTTTTGTCGGCCGGGTAGATTTTGTACAGTGCGAGGCGAGAGATCAGGAAGCCGAGGCCATTTAAGCTCCCATCGAGGTCATTGGCTTTTTCCTGAGCTTTCTTCTTCTCTTCGTCTGTCAGGTCTCCATAGAGGAGGCTCAGATGTGGCATGTAAGCTACAGCATCAACCAACAGAAGAAACACATAAGCACTCTCACAAACAAGAAGTCCCCTTCTGTCAATTACTTCCTTTTATCACTAGGACGTGTTAGCGGTCAACAGAACCTCGTCACCACATCCAAATGGATAGAGTAACAAAAGTTTCAGCACCAAGTGATACTAAGACGAAAATAATTGAATGGTAAAACTGAAGGACAAAGGGCGTGCCTACAGAATTCACTTTTTGCTGAATTACTTCGAACAGGTATGCAAGGAGATAACACTAAGCTCATATGACTTAGCAAAGCCAGATGATAATACCAGGAACTACAATAACCGTTTCCATGCATACTCATTCCCTAGGAAGCCCCTACTTATTTTCACAGCAAATAAATGAAAGCTACGGAACTCCAAATAAGTTGTACGGGCACAAACTTTGAGTTCATTTGCATGTTTAGCACAGCAAAGGACTGGAAAAAAGGCAAAGAAGGCAAAGACTCAATCAAGATATACGTGTATGGGATTTCCTTCCCGAAATATCAATATTAATCTTTGTTAGGTATCAGCATTTTCTCCTGTCCTCAGGAAATGACAGGACACATATAGAAAGATCCTAGAAGAGGCCTTGCAACTTTAAGACGTAAAGCCATAAGATCCTTCCCCTGAACTCATTGATACCCCTATCTTGCTTAATCCTAGCTTAAAGCCTAAAAGTTTTTAGATTTAATACCATTTCCAGCAAAAAGTCAAAAAGGAATTAAGGGAACAGACTGTCTTTTCAAAACTCTCGCAGACTTCTTTTATTTCCACCCTGAGACGAGGTTCTACTGTAACGTTGAAGTGGGCAACTGCTCTGTAATCCCAAAGTATGCAATAACATAATTGGTGACTACAGATTATCATCTCCATCAGACTCCTGTCAGCTTGCCTCAATCTATTGCTGATCCTAACTTTGTAATTGGAAGCTCTGTGTTTTTTGTTCTTATAGTGTCACTAAAAGAGAGTAAATCACTCATCCTGTCATCACAAATTTAAAATCAAGATGACTCTTTGGGGATCACCTCGGTGACTGTCTGAGAAATGGACAAAACTTGCACAGATGTTTTGCTTCATGCAGTGACACTTGAAGCAAATATACCGCCTACTACTGCTGACATATATTGAATAGAGTAAACATTTGCCATGGCTAAGCCAAATCCAAGACAACCGTCGTTTTGTCCAATAGAATAAAGAAACTGTCTCAGCATACAATCAGAGAACCCATGGATAGACCAGAGCTAAAGCAGAAATACCCAGAACTTACGTGTTGGGCTCTTGTAACCTAGATGAGCAGAGCAGCGATCACTGGCTTCAACAACCTGGAAGAAGAAAATGAGTGAATTACTTGTCCCATCACACTAAAAGAAGAAAAATGTGCAGGTTTCTCAGACATTTCATTCAAGAAAATGCTACTTGTTCTCGCAATTGTGCAAATAATATGCACTTCCCAACAATCTCAATTCATTCCAGCCAGGATGAATTTCTCTGCAAGAATGTGGAATTCAAACTGATGCCAACAAAATCCAATATCATACAGATGTGACACAGAATGAGACATGAAACAAGTGACCGCACAGAAAACTACAATGAAGAAAAGATAGAGACAGGCCTAACACATAGTTGACACCCAAATAGGCCCATTCTGAACACAAGCTAGTGGATCCAGATAGACATGGCCATGGGCCGGTTTCGGCCCGGAACGGGCCCGGGTCAAACCCGGGACCGGCCCGTTGACCAGGCCTGTGGTTCGGAACCGGAACCTGCCCGTGGCCTACGGGCCTGGTTTCGGTTCCAACAATTTTGGAACCGGCCCGGAACCGCCGGTTCAGGGCCCGGTACCAAAAAAAAAAAAAACTTTGATTACATTTTAAGTTCAAGCCCCATCTCTTTCTCTCTTTTTTTCCCCAAATTTGATTACAATGTACATTTTGATTACATTTTATATTGAATAATTCATTATTTCATAATTTGATAATTCATTATTTTTTTATTTCATAATTTATTTTTTTAATTTTTACCGGCCGGTTCCGGTTCATACATGGCCACAAACCGGAACTGCCGGTTCCGAACTGTGGCCATGTCTAGATCCAGAGCAGAGATACCCTCTCAAACGTGGGTTAAATGCATTTCTTCAATGTCTTACTAAGAAAAAGGAAAGAAACTTAAAATGTGCATCCAAACAGTGAAATACCACAACCCACATGCACGCTATTAAGCTCTCTAAATTAACAAATTACGGCTTGTCCTCACTCAGTACGAAAAGCCTTGCTGCTATGTGCATTAATCCATCGTGCCTAGTTATGTGCCTTTTGCTGAAACTAGAAGGAAGAAAGTCAATAAAAGAAACATGTGAAGCGGGAACTGTCTGGACTGGCTGATTTGATCCGGGTCTCAATTTCTAAAAGTGGACCGGGGTTTGCCGGTTCCAAGGGGGAACTGGACTGAACCGGACCGGACTGACTATATATATTTTTAATTTTTTTTTAATTTCTTCATAAAATTAACTAAAGTAAAGTGAAAGCCTAAGTGAACTTCAGTACTCCTCTCCCGAAACTTTCCAAAAGTTACATGTAGTAATACAAACAAATTTAACTTGTCTGGGAGCTATTCTCCACTAGAACAATTATTACAAAATTAAAAAACTTTCAGAAGGTATATACCTAGCCGCCGTAAGTAGGAAGAAACTTAATGTAAACACAAATTGCAATAGCTAGTGTAAGTTATGTACAATAAATGACCGATTCCATTGGACCGGATCGGATCAGGAACCGATCACCCCTCATTTATGCATATCAATCAAGACTACAACCCCAGGACCCATCACTCTGCGAAAGAATGAAGAAAAGGAACCAGAGTGCACATTTAACAATCCATGATCAAAAGTCAATGAACCAGACTCCAACTCGGAAGTTCACCCTCCTATCTCTCCCACGGCCCAAAAACTGTAAGAGAAGTACTTCAATTAAGAAGGTGTAAGGGACTCGAAACACAAGCGAGAATTTACCTCAGCCGTAGGACGGAGGAGCAAGTACACACACTGGTAGAAGAAAGTCCCCGCGGCCACGCGATCAACAGTGGCAGTGTAAGCCCCGAGCCCATCACAAGCCGCTCTGAACTTGCTCACGGCATCATCTTCCGCAAGGCTGACTGGCCCAACGACGGTGATGTGGGGCACGAACTGCGGCCCGCCGAACTCCGACCGGAGCCCGTCCATCAAGCTCCGCAGCCTCGTCGCCAGGTCGTCCGGCGGAAGCGCGAACACGCAGTACGCGATCTTCGGCGGGCTTTCCATGGAAGCAGAGCAAGGGAGACGAGCTGGCTGTTGAGACCAAGAAATGCAGGGTGGCCTAGCGACGGGGAGGGGACAAAGAGGGTTGACTTTTGACGTTGTTCTTACGCAGGGACGGGGTTAAAGAAGGGAGAGAACGAGGCGTGCACTGCCAGCATTGGTGGGTTATTGTCGAGCTCCGAGAAGATGGAGTGCGTCGCTAGTTTTGAGTGACAGGTACGGAAAGGTGGAAACTTTTCCTCCTCACATGTGAAGTGCGTATATAATAATGAGGACGTGCTAAGTTGTGAATGAGAAGGGACGGTGAATGAAAGCGCTCCGCCGTCGCACCGTATTTGGGCGAAGGTGGAGATGTCGATCGGGAAGCTCCAGTTGGAGAACACGATCGGTTGGCTGATGATGGCAGTCGGCGGCGGTCGGAGGCGACAGCAACCTAAGATCAGCTTTTATCGCAACATATGTGGCGGTCTTCGCTCGATGGCTAGACATGAGAAATTCTATTCACTTTTATCGTAATCCTATATGGGAATTTTTTTTTTAATTCGGGTTATTTCTCTCCTTTATCTAGTCTTATACTAAATAGGATAAATTAAGTTTATCTATCCTGATTTTTTACCTGGTCACTAAATGTAGTTTTGGAGACTTTTGTTGAGAAAGATTATAATGCATAATGGAATGGTCCATTTACATAACAAGAATCGGAGACATGCATCGCAAAATCACAATAGCAAATTGATGCATGAAACACTCGACAATAGACCAACCATATCTGAATTTTGACTTTGAAGATACGAAGATGAGAAGATCATTCATAGCAGGTTGAATTAGATTAAATTTTTCTTGAGCTTGGACCATTTCAGTTTAAATTCGTATAATTTCTGCTCACCCAACTGAAAAGTATGGGCAATTAGACCACTCAATTGGTAAGTTCACCATCAGAAAACTTTTACAATTTTCAGGTCCTGCAGAACAAAACATTGTCGATGAAAATTCAAATCTCTTCACTTGAAATATGCCAAATATTATGTAAACTATCACAATCAGCCACAGCTGCATCTAGTTTTGGCCAAATTCAGGTGTAAACAGAGTTGCGATCTCTCAATGCATGACTCTTGCAGTTGCAAACTAGTCTCATAGAAATGGCTCCAGTACTGTTTGCAGGAACTTCAACATCTGAAGCAGGATGGAGTAGCAGAATACATAGAAGAGGTGCTCAGGACTCAAACAGACGGTATACTTCCTTGTGCTAAGACTGTTTTGAAAACTATTGAGTTGCCTAATCTAAGGTCGAAACAGGAACTGTTGAAAGAAAGTCTGGCAGTTGAGAAAGAGAGAATGAGGGCTGGTGTCAATGAAGTGAGAGGAGAGTCTGATGAAATTAACCAAGTAATCTCATCACTATCCGCAATATAGTTCACTTGTTTTTTCCCTGGCTTGAAAAATCCATCACCTCTCATCACTTCCCACAAACAAGTAACTGAATTTCTAGGGAAAATAAATTGAAAGTGAGCAATCTACAAATGTACAAGGACATTGGATGCACATGCCCGTAGAATAGTCACATTCCCAACACCAGATGACAAAGTAGAGAACACAAGAGGTTTTCAGACTGTTGAGAACATAAGGAAAGGGATACTGGTTACAAGCAGAATCTAACTTGCATTAAGGCTGCACTCTGCTATCTTTTCCCATGATTGACAAGTTTTATCTTCCGTGTCGGTTTTGTACAGTGCGAGGCGAGAGATCAGGAAGCTGAGGCCATTTAAGCTCCCATCGAGGTCATTGGCTTTTTCCTGAGCTTTCTTCTTCTCTTCATCTGTCAGGTCTCCATAGAGGAGGCTCAGATGTGGCATGTAAGCTACAACATCAACCAATAGAAGCAACACATGAGCACTTTCACAAACAAAAAGTCCCCCTCCGTCAACTATTTCCTTTTATCGCTAGCAAGTGTTAACGATCAACAACATGGGACCACGTCACCACATCAAAATGGATAGAGTAACAAAGGTTACAGTGCCAATTGATATTGAGATGAAAAGATTGAATGGTTAAACTGAAGACAAAAGGCGTGTCCATAGAATACTCTTTTTGCTGAATTACTTTGAACAGGTATGTGAGGACATAACACTTAGCTAATATGACTTGGCAAAGCCAGATGATAGTACGAGGAACTACACCAACCGTTTCCCTGTCTACTCGTTCCCCAAAGAAACCCCTACTTAGATTCACAGCAAATAAATGAAAGCAATGAAACTCCAAATAAGTTGTACGGGCACAAATGTATTCATTTGCATGTTCAGCACAGCAAAGCACTGCAAAAAAGGTGAAGAAAGTAAAGACTCAATCGAGATAAAAGGGTTCGCTGTTCACATGTACGGGTTTCCCTACCTGAAACGTCAATATTATTCATCGTTAGAATTCAGCATTTCCTCCTGTCCTCAGGAAATGATGGTAACATTAGAAAGATCCTAGAAAAGGCCATGCAACTTTAAAATTACAGCCATAAGATCCTTCCAATGAATTGAGTGATATGTATATCTAACTTAATCCTAGCTGAAAGCCTATGAAGGTCTTAAATTTAACACCATTTCTAGCAAAAAGCGAAAAAGGGTTAAGGGAAGCGTCTTTTTAAAACTCTTGCGGGCTTCTTTTATTTTCGTCTTAAGATGAGGTTCTACCGTAAGGTAGAAGTGGGCAACTGCTAGGTAATTCTAAATTGTACAATAACGTAAATGGTGACCATAGATTATCATCTCCATCAGACTCCAGTCAGCTTGCCTCATCCTATTGCTGATTCTAACGTTGTATATGGAAGCTCTGCAGTTTTGTCTTTTTATTTCACTAAAACAGTAAATCGCTCATCCTGTCATCGCAAATGTGAATTGAAAATGACTCTTAAGAGATCACATCAGTGACTCTCTCAGATATGGACAGAACATGTGCCGATGTTTTGCTCCATGCAGTGACACTTGAAGCAAAGATATCAACTACTCCTTCTGATACATATATTAAATGAAGTGAACATTTCCCATGGTTAAAGCCAAATCCTGGACAACAGTCATTTTGTTTAATATAGAATAAAGAAACTTTTTCGGCATACAACCAGTCAACCGATGGATAGACTAGAACTAAAGCAGTAAAATGTCTGCAACTTACGTGTTGGCCTCTTGTAACCTAAATGAGCAGAGCAATGATCACTGGTTTCAACAACCTGGAAGAAGAAAATGAGTGAATTACTTATCCATTAAACAAAAAAAAGGAAAAGTGTGCAAGTTTCTAAACATTTCATTCAAGAAGATGCTAAGCGGTACAAATAATTTGTGCTGCTTAACAATCTCGATTCACTCCAACCAGGGGGAAATTCTCTGCAAGAATGTGAAATCCAAACTAATGCCAACAAAATCCAATATCATAGAAATCTGACATAGAATGAGACATGAAACAAGTGACAGCGCAAAAAACTACAATGAAGAAAAGATATAGACCGGCCAGACACATTGTTGACACACAAATAGGCCCATTCTGAAGACAAGTAAGTGGATCCAGAGCACAAATACGCTCTTAATAGTGGGTTCAATGCATATCTTCATTGTCCTAATAAAAAAAGGAAAAAGAAACTCAGAATGTGCATCCTAAACAATTAAATACCATAATCAACAAGCACCCTGTTGAACTCTCTAAATTGATGAATTGTGCCTTGTCCTCATTTAGTCTGAAAAGCTTTGCTGCCATGCGTATTAATCCATCGTACCTAGTCATGTGCCTTTTGCTGAAACTAGAAAGAGAAAAGTCACGTGCATGCCTTACTTTATTTAATGTAAAATGTGATATTAAAAGGAATTAGCCAACTGTTTTTACTGTGCAAGATATTATTTTGTATCAACTAATAATGGGTATGACTTCTGTTAGTCAAAGGTACTTTTGACAGAATTTGAAGTTTTCAGGCACGTCATTAGTGATGAGTCGAAAATGACCTCGTGACTTCTTGTAGAACTTGGAGTTAATTGTAAATCTGTTGAAGAAGATTTTTCTATTCTTAATACAAATTTTAAGATAAAGAACATGAATTATACATATCAACCAAGACTACAGGCCCATAACTCAACATTCTGAGAAAGGATGAAGAAGGGGAACAAGACTGCATATTTAACAATCCATGCTCAACTAGCAACAGAAGCAGCCAATCCCTGAAATCCAACCTGAAAGTGAACCCTCCAATCTCTCTTACAGCCCAAAGAAACCCGAATACAACAAAAAGAATCAAATGACCCATCCTTTTCATAAATGGATGATGGAATGTCATCAAGCCAGTAACACAAGGTAAATCATCAGATTGATAAAATAAAATTTGCAACCGTTAGAGTTCCTTTGCTGACAAATACGATGGATCAAAGCTGAAAATAGTAAATTAAAAATGTCAAACGCCATCAGACAAGCACGTCAATTAAGAATTTGTCAGGCTTATCACACTATTCTACCCCTAAACCCATAAAATCTCAGTCAACCCAGAACACCATTCCAATATAATAAAGAGGATCAGCTGTAAGGTACCCACACAGAAACTTAAATTCACCTATACTTGACTCAAAGCCTTTTTTGCCTAACTAAACAACCGACAAAAAAGTGAAAACAGAAAACGATCTTTTTCCTTCTCCCAAATAGAAGCTAATGAAGTTCTCCTATCACAGAATCAACATTCCCGTTGAGGCACTAACACACACACCTTGTATGGAAATCAAAGCGGGCACCGAGAACAAGCCATTAGGAACTCGAAACACATGCGCAAAATTACCTCAGCCGATGGACGGAGGAGCAAATACATGCACTGGTAGAAGAAAGTCCTGGTGGCCACACGATCGACCGTGGGGCAGCGTAAGCTACCCACTCAAACGCTTAAATTCACATATACTGGACTCAAAAGCCTGTTTTCCCTAATTAAACAACCGACAAAAGAAGATAAACAGAAGACGTATCCTGTTCTTCTCTCGAACAAAAGCTAATCAAGTTCTCCCATAACAATATCAAACATTCCCCCATTGAGGCATTGAAGCAAACACCTCCCGTGGCAATCAAGCGAACGACAGGGCATCCAGAACAAACCATTAGGGACCCAGAAACACATGCGCCAAAATCACCTCAGCCGTGGGGCGGAGGAGCAAATACACGCACTGGTAGAAGAAAGTCCCCGTGGCCACGCGCTCGACGGTGGCAGTGTAAGCCCTGAGCCCATCGCAAGCCGCCCTGAACCTGCTGACGGCATCACCTTCCGTCAGGCCGATCGCCCCGACGACGGTGACGTGGGGCTCGAACCGGGGCCCGCCGAACTCCGACCGGAGGCCGCCCATCAAGCTCCTCAGCCTCGGGGCCAGGTCGTCCGTCGGGAGCGCCCACACGGAGTACACGAACTCGGGCGGGGTTTCCATAGGAGAGCAGAGGCAGGACAGGGGAGAGATGGGCTGCCTGCGGTGAGACCCAGAAAAACAGAGTGCGTGGGGACGAGGAAGGGACGAAGGGGGACGACTCTTGGCGTTGTTCTGACGCAGGGACGAGGTTGAAGAAGCGAAAGGACGAGGCGTGGATAGGTGGGTCGTTGATGAGCTTGGTGAAGCAAAGAGCATATGCCGGAGAATCAGCAGTTCGCAGGCGGGAGATGCGCAGGGGAACCCGGGGAAGCTTTGATTGCCATTGCACGTGGAAAGTCGAATCGCATGAATGGTCTATTCTCAGAAAATTATAATAGTCCTTCCTCTATGTATATGAATATACACACCAAAATCTGACCCCTTACTTTCAAAAAAGTATGACGAGCATTTGGTGACGGATTCTGCTGATGTGCTTTCTAAATCTTTTTCTAGATTATTGTTGTGGCTACTCGAGTTTCGAGCTCACGGCTAGGGATGCTCGCGTTTTGGACTCGTGCTCACAGCTGTCAAATCTCCAGCTCAAGTGTCACGGTCGAGAGGTTTCCAAGCGCCAAAAATCATGCAACATTGACAAAGACTCGTTCAAACCTAATGGAGCTTTCGGAACATCCAAGGGCGTGGACTTCTCGGGCTTGAACACGTGAGCAAACGGATCTTGGCGAATCTCGGGTGATTATTCCTCTCCCACTCTTTCTCTTTGGCGTGAACCAAGAAGCAAGAAGGCAAGAACCAAGATGGTGGTGGCGTGAGGATGAGGAGAGAGTGGCGTGAGAGAGCTTGAGGGTGGCCAAGTCTATTTATAGGCAAGCCAAACTTACTCACCAAGTTGCTCTCCAACTTGCTCAAAAAGATACATGGCCATCATGACAAGGCCTCCAAAGTCAAGACTCATCATGGCATGCATTTAATGTCATTAATGAACTAAGGCCAAAGAAAATGATGAAGGCCAAGCTTATCCTAATCTCATTGGCTCTCTCTCTCTCTCTCTCTCTCTCTCTCTCTCTCTCTCTCTCTCTCTCCCTTTGGCCGAATGGCCTTCTCACGGCTCCCTTGGCTTGGCCAATTAATGCTTGTAGTTATGAAAGGGGTCCCTAAAGTCTTATGGCCAATTAAGGCATGTCATCATGAAAGGGACTCCAAAGTCAAGGTCATTAATTAGGCTTCTTGAACAAGCTTCATTCTTGGCCATTCATTTCCAAACTTGGGCTTCAAGTTTTGACTTCGGTATAATCATCCAATTCTAAGCTTGCTTCTCTCTCTCGGTTTCCCTTTGGGCCGACCTCTAATCAAAGCATAACATGTCTCATTTGAAAGATCATAACGTGTAATTTAAATCACCAGAAGACATCAAGTCAAAATTTCAACATTTTCGGATAGAAAATGCTGAATCTTTGAAATCTGACAAAACCGGATAGCTTTGCACTGTTCACGAAATCGGACTTGAAAACATAGTAAATGGACTCCGAAAATTCTCAAATATGAATATGTCATAAACAAGGCCTTAACAAACATTTTTCATGTAGAACACGAAATCTGAATCTCTCTGTAAACGCCATTTTTAATAGCTCAAAGACAGATTAAAAATAGTTCGCTGGAACAGAATCCTTGTTTCTCAAATTAAGCTCTTTCCAGAATCCAAATCATCTCGAAAAATTCCCAAATTTATATACATTATAGAAAAAGAAGTTCTCAACAACTTTTGTGAAGGAAACTTTTCCAAAATCGTCCCAGAAAAGCTTGTAGAAATAAAGAAAGGGTGAACATCACCGAAATACCCATTCTGGGCAGTTTTACACGGTCCGGAAATGAGGATGTCGTACTACTCATATCAAGTCCAAAAATTATGAAATTAAAGTATGTAAAAATTCATGATGTTTGGAACAACTTTCAACAATAAAGTGTTTGGAAATTCGGATCACAAAATTCTCCATAAAAATAACAAAACGAAGGGGTACAGAGGATCCGAAACTGGGTTTTCCAGAACAAGAGTAAAACTTGGTTCCAATTGGAAAACTACCAAACTTAAACCATAACCATTTCCCAGGGACTGAAATTGAGGATGTTACAAAGAGGGAGCAGGTGGAGGTCGGATCGCCACCACGAAGATGAAGAAGACCATGATGTCCGTGGTCGAAAAGACACGGATGGTGATCACAACCATCGAGAGGCTTCGAATGTCCAAGTCGGTGGATGAAAGGGCAAGCTCTCATTCGAGATAATTCCACTTGATGACTACAATCTCATTCTAGGCATGGAATTGTTTGACACTACGAATGCTATGATAGATTTGAGGACCAAGTTGATTGTCATCACTGTGCCCGTCAATGGTGCCGATGATTCATGGATTGACTGAGACAAAAGTCCTCTCCACGATCCGACTCGTAGACAATGGACCAAGAGTTGAGAAGTCTATGACCGAGTTCCGCACGAAGCCAAAGCCAAAGGTGGATCATTTCCTTCAATACGACATGCCAATCCATGTGCTATTCCCGGAAGTGGCAAACTTGCCGTCCAACATGGAGAAGGCCAAACCAAAGGAGCTAAATGCCAGACAAGCCGAGAAACCAAAGACGAAGAAGCCTTGGAAGAATTGGAAGCGCTCCAAGAAGCCATCAATCAAACCCAAGTCGAAAGTGTCGAGAGCATCACTCGAATGGATGGGGGAGAATGCCACGGTCGAAAGGTTTCCAAGCGCCAAAGACCGTGCAACATTGACAAAGACTCGTCCAAACCCTAATGAAGCTTTTGGAACATTCTCAGGGATGGGCGATATGGTGATTGTGCCGTATTCTAAAGAATTTTCGGTATAAAATACCGATAGTTGGTGGACGGGTAGATGTGATATTGGCCACTAGATTGATAGTCGATCAATGGATGTAATCTGAGGCCCTCTTCTATATAAATGAGCGTCATCCTTCTCATTTGTATCCATCCAATAATTGAATCAATAAAAAATATTTTCTCCCAGAGCTTCTCTCTCTAGATTCTCTTTCTACGAATTGGGTGAGTGAGTGAGTGATTGAGAAAAGGCTTGGCTTAGGCACTCCAATGATCCAAAGAAGCCTAAGTCGCCGCACAGGTTGTTCCCCCGTGACACAAGGCCATGATTGCTAGAGCTTCAGCCCTCATGACCACGGAAGCTTGAGGCAGCAATGTGGAACGCCGACGTGCAGCGTCGTTAGTGTCCGTGTCGTCGAGACAATATGAGGTGACAAAGGCGGTGGCCGGTGGTGTGGGACGGTTTGGATTGGTTTATGTCTTTTTTAAATTATTTTATGTTGCAGATTTTACACCATGGTGCCACATGAAAATTTCAAACATATCATAACACAACACTTGTTCTATCACATATCGACTGCCCCTCTTAAAACTAGTCAACCATTAAGAAAAAAACAAAAGTAGCCCTCAAACTTTTTTAATGAACAATTGCGGGTTTCAACTTTTGTTCAATTGAATTCCTAAACTTGGATAAATTCTCTCAATATAATCCTTTGTTAACAAATCTAATGGCATTAGCTGATGTGGACGCAAGTTTTCATGTGGACGCAATTTTTGACGGGGAAAATTATTCAAAAAGTTCTAAATTTATTGCACTTTTGTCAATTCAGTCATAAAACTTTTTAATTATGTCAATTGAGTTACAAACATTTTCACGTTTAGCCAATTGAGTCCATCCAGCTAATTTTGACTAAAAATTACTGACATGAACGTCGACCATCCTATGTGACACAGCTAATGCTGACATGGATAATTTTTAATAATATTTTATGAATTTTTTTGATTAATTTTCATTTTTTTATTTTCTTCTCTTTTCCTTATTTACTTTTTTTATTTTTTATTTTATCTTTATCTTTTTTCTTTTCCTTTTTTCCTCTCCATTGGCCATCGCCGAGCCTCGTCGATGGTCGACGAAGGTTGCTGACCTCGGGCGAGGGATGCTTGGGCATGGGCTAGCGAGACCAGTCCTCGCTAGCCTAGCCCAGGCATCCTTTGCCCTTGTCAGCCAATATTGAGGGTCGTTATCATCTGGGCTGGCGAGGGCGTCCCTCCCCCGAGGCCCGCGAGAGTGCCCCTTGCTCGATTACCCTTGCCTGTGGCAGTGGCCGGTGGAGGGAAAAAGGGAAACAGAAAATAGAAAAGAAAAAAAAGAGAAAAAGAAAAAAATTAGCGAAGGAAAAGAGAAAAAAATTAATAAAAAATAGAAAAAAATATATTAAAATATCATTAAAAATTGTGCATATTAGTATTAGTCCTGCCACGTAAGACGATTAACGTTCACGTCAGTGATTTCAAGCCAAAATTGACCGAATGGACTCAAGTGGCTAAACGTGAAAAAGTTGAGTATTCAAATGATACAATTAAACGGTTTATGATTGAACTGACAAAAGTGTAATAGGTTTAGGACTTTTTGGACAATTTTCCCATTTTCGACATGACGATACACTTAAGTAAAATCATGTGAAGTGAATTTATAAAATTCATAAATTACATTGAAGAAAATGACACTTTCATACATGTCTAGAAGCACTTCCACAAATTTTTTTGTCTCACTCTCTCTACTATGTAGATGTGTATTCGATGCTCACAGGGACCGAATCTCAAACCTAGTACTCTCCACCCCCACCCTCACCCCCACCCCTACCCCCAATCTCTTTACCAATAGGGCCGCATGCCTATTGGCGTACTTCCACTTGCAATTTACTATGCACAAAACCAACATGAGGTTTACGTTTCAGTCACAGCCACAAATGCATGCTTAGCTCATTCAGGGGAAAGCTGCAACCTATTTTATATTGGTATGCATGACGTCGACAACGAAGCCCATCCCATTTCTTATCCAAACATCGGCTCTAGGATGGTCTGGTCGGGCTCTTCAATGTCCTCTCTTGTCACCTTCAGTTGGTCAGTTCTTAAGTTGTATTGGTCGTCCCTCTTCATCACCACATCCGGCTTCAATAAGCCCCAGCCCGATGGCTGAGGTGACGTCATTAGTGTTGGCACACCAATCGGAAGCTTATTGTTGGGGTTACCCCACATCGATGTTAGAAGGGGCTAGTGGTCACTTTATAAGTGTAAGGGAAAGTCTTACTCTTTGAGTTAACTTTTGAGGTAGAGAGGTCCGAGACCACTCAATATTGGTATCAAAGTCCAGGTTACCAACTAGTCTGGACCCAACAGTCACGTCGGAGATACATGTTGTTGCTACTTCGACCTAGGACCTGATGTGGGAGGGGGAGATTGTTAGGGTTATCTCACATTGGTGATAGACGGGGCTGGTGGTCAGTTTATAAGTGCGAGGGAAAGACTTACTCTTTCAC